AACACAACCCTTGGAGACGAAGAACAATCTGGGAGCCAGAGGAGAAGATTAGGGATAGTGGCAGAGCCAGCCAGACGATTGACCAAGTGCTGGAATTTAATCCTAAAATCGGTCTTGACATGTGAATTGGCCAACAAATTTCACATAAAACGGTCAAACTTGTCTAGAGGCTGGAACTACAAACCTGAGGGTGTGTTAGGAGCAAAGTGCAGCTGGAATGTCAGGAAGGCCTAATGGATGTGTGCTCAAAACCTGCTGTAGCCTACACTGGGATGCTGTAGTCCCTGGGCTGTTCCCTGCGTGCCGAGCGCGTGTGCGATGTAGGGGAATGCCGGGCTTAGGTAGCTGTGTCATTGCTTACAAGTTCTAAGAATTCTTTGCTAGCAAATGGAAACTGCAGTGTCCTTGGAGAAAAGAAGTGTTGTGCCTCCAACAGAAACCTCTGAGACGAGAGCTGCTCTCTTGGCTAGTTCATATGTGGAAATAGTCCTGTAATTCGAGGTAACTCCTTTTGCTCATGTCCGCATCCTTCCTCTTGTTGAGAGCTCATTTGAAAGTCTAATGTACCTGTGAAATATTCCTTTTGACAATTTTGGTCAGCTGCTGGAAAAACGTTTAACCCATGCCGTATGCAACCTTTGGCTTGTGGCACACCTTGGGTTCCACAGATCAGAGTTGGGCATGCAGCCGTGTCTTGCTGTAGGTACGGAAGCAAGATGGGAACGAACTCCCTGACTCGATATGTGTTCATCTATTGAGACTCTTCCTAGACTTCATTAAGTTGCTCACTTTAATTGTAGCTTTCTTTGCCATCCTACTTGTTGCCATTAACTTTTTCCCATGGCCCACACTTCCTAAGCAGCCATGTCCAAGTGTTAACTCTCTGCTTAGGGATCCAATCCATGGGCTGGCTGAGCACGGGCAGCAGCCGGCCCGGAACAGTTTTCCCAGACTGTGCTTTGTGGTGTGATGGGTTCAGCGATGGCTTGTGAGACCCTCGTACGCTGTGAGCTGTGTGGGGGAGGTGGGGGACGTGCAGCCTCTGCCCGGCGTTCCTGTTAATGCCTCTCTGCTTTGGCAGGCTGAAGGGACCAGGGGCACGGCCCGGAGCCTGAGCGGATCCTGAGGGAGCAGAGCTGCGTTCCAGGGGTGCCAGACTGAGTTTGCCAACCAGGTAATGTCCCTTCTTCCCCCCTTGCCCCCCTGAGCTTTTCCTGACCCAAAAGCTTTGGTGTGTCCCTGTTTCACAGCCTTGTGCTCCGAGTGGTCCAGTTAACCCTCTTTTGGGGGTCCCCATATCTTTATCCCCCTTCCAATTCTCTTTTATTTCATTTCAGCACCGAAAGGCATCAGAGAAGACCGAGAAGGACAGACAGACCCTGAGTGCAGTGGGGAGATGAAGAGCCCAGAGCAGTGGTGGTGCTGTTTTTACATGGGTCAATTGAACAAGTCAGTTAAGCCAGAATAAAATACTGCAATGTGGAAAAAAAAACCCCAAATCTCTGTGGTACTTTCGTGGGAAACATAAGAATGTTTTTCTGGCAAGAAACTTACTGGTGCACAGCCTAGTTCAGAGCACAGAACACACCAGTGCTGTGGTGGTTGGGGCTCCAAGCAGATCGATGCCTGATCTTCATGGAAAACAAGGTCTTGTTTTTGGTTAAATTCCAAAAATGTGGCAGCTCACTAATTAGTAGGATTTATCTTGGGAGAGGCTGACACTGTTTTGGGCAGGGTATGGCAGAGTGAGGGGTGAGGGCAGTGAGTTTCTGATGGTCTCAGCTGCTCCTGCCCGATTATTTTGTGTTAACAGTTGATTGCTTTGTTCTGCCTTTTTCTCTCCTTTTTTTAATGGATAAAATTGGAATTTGGTGAGGTGGTAAGTGAGGTGCTCACTCATGAGCCCTGAGGACTCCTTACACATCATTTCCCAGTAATAAGAGCCCCAGAAGGATATTAAATACAATGAAAGCTCAAGAGTGTGGAATTTTTGCTGAGAAAAATATAGTCAGGTGAAAGTTTAAACGAATTCAAGCTGAAAATACTTAGAAGTAATGCTTTGTAAGGCCTCCCTAAATGGGATCCTTTAGTGCAGGTAGGAATAATGAATAGATACAAAAATAGAGCCTGGGTGGAGGTGCTGTTATTTTTGGCATTGCTAATTACAGCGCTGCAATGATGATGTGTTGCACAGATAGATGAGGGAATTGCTGGATCCAGGGGCTGGATGTAGAACCAAGTGGCATCCTTGGGAATTTGTTTGGGTGCCATGTGGCTGACGTGACATCTGGTGTGAGCTTGGGTGACCCATTTTTAACAAAAATGCCCTTTTTAAAGTCCTGTGTGTCGGGGCACCTTGAGCCCTTCCCTGAGAGAAATCTGGGAGCAGAGTGGTGGTGCAGGGCAGTGACAGAGCCCTGGTCAGCCTGGAGGGTCTGTGGAGGAACAAGACTGGTGTTTAGAAATGCTCAAAACGCTCCTGTTTCCAGCAGTGTCCACCTCGGGGGCGGGAATGGCCCTCGTGGTGGGGGAATGGTGACACTCAGGGGGAAATGGTGGTTCTGAGGGAGAGAGTCTTGCTGTGATAGAGAAATGGTGACTCTCAGGGGGAAAGGGTGGCCCTGAGGGGGAAATGATGGCCCTGGAAGGGCAATGACGGTCCCGAGGGAGGAGGGACGGCCCTGAGGGGGAAATGGCTGCCCTGAGGGTCTTGCTGTGAGGGGGAAAGGGCGACCCCGAGGGAGAACTGATGCCCTCAGGGGGGAATGGCGGCCACGAGGGAGGAAGAACGACTCTGAGAGGAAAATGGCAGGTCCGAGGGAGGGGGTCTTGCTGTGAGAGGGAAATGGCGGCCCCGAGGGAGACATGACGGCCCTGAGCGCGGAAGGACGACCCTGAGGGGAAAATGGCGGCTCTGAGGGACGGGGTCTTGCAGCGCGGGGGAAATGGCGGCCCCGCGGAGGTGGCGGCGGCCGTGAGGGGACAGCGATGATCCTGCGAGCAAAATGTCGGCCCTGCCGAGGCTCCGTGAGCGGGTCAGGGGCGGCCCGGAACGGCGGAGCCCCGGAACCCGCGAGCGGCTCCGCGGGGCCCGGGCGGTGCCTGCGCCGAGCGCACCGTCCCGGCGCCTTCCTGCGGCCGCCGCTCCCGCCCCGCTCCCGGCCTGGCCCGGCCCGGCCATGCGGCCGCTCCTCATCCTCCTCATTCTCCTGCTGCCCCTCGGCCGCGCCGCCGCCCCCGGCCCGGCCAACAGCACAGAGGCGCCGCGAGCGGCCACGGGGAACGGGACGCGGCCGTCGCCGGAGACGCAGCGCCCGCCCGGGCCGGGGCTGCTGGCGGGGCCGGGGCTGCCGGTGCTGAGGCGGGCGGTGTATGTGCTGAGCGCGCTGTCGGCGCTGGCCGCGCTCTATTTCGTGCTGCGGGCGTTCCGGTGAGTGCGGGAGGGGCGGGTACCCCCGGCGGGGCTGTGTCCGTGTCCCTGCGGGTCCCGGTGTCCCCTGTCCCGGGGTTCTGCCCTTCTCGCCCCAGTCCTGGTTCCCCCTGGTCTGGGACGTGTCCCTGCTTGTCCTGGTCCCGGTTGTCCCGGTGCCTGCCCCCCATGACTGTGCCCCTGCCAGTCCCAGTCCTGATCTGGGTCCCCCTGGAGCCGATCACGGTGTCCACTGTCCTCTTGCCTGCCTCGGACCCCTCCTAATCCCAGGTTTGTGCCCATTTTCCCTGGATCCCCCTTCCATCCCTCCCTCCCTCCCTCTGCCAGCCAGGGCTCTGCTCCCCTGTGCATTCCTTTGTCAGCCTGTCCAAAGCGCTGCTGTAAATCCACACCGCTGTTAATTACCCGGGGTAATTAGCGATGACAAACCACCTCCCATCGATCCCGTTGGCTCTGCCCTTTGGCTCGGATCGGTGCCCTGTCCCTGCGCTGGGACAACAGCTCCCCGTGCCCTCCCTGTCCCTCAGCCACAGGTCCGAGGGCCCCAGGAATGAGCCCCAAACCCGTTTCAGGTTGAAGAAGCCCCAGAAGAAGTACGGGCTGCTCTCGAGCCACGACGAGAACATCGAGCTGGGCTCCCTCGACAGCGACGAGGACACCGTGTTCGAGACGCGGAACCTGCGGCGGTGAGGGAGGGTTTGGTGTGTTTTGTGTGCTTTGTGTGTTCCTCTTCTCCTCACGAGGGGCTGAGGCGCCTTTCCTACAGCCGTGGGAGCTTTGGCACGGCTCCTACAAACAGATCTGCATAAATTAAGCGCCTGTGTGTGGTCTCTGTGTTGGCACACGGATTCATCTCCCTTTTCCCCGTTTTCTCACCCAGAAAGGTCTCACTGACAGGGACGTCCCTGGGTGATTTGGACATGGCTGTGGGGTCGCCAGGGCTGTTGGAGAGGCAGCCCTTGTACCCAGTCTGAGCCTCCCTGTGTTAGACAGGAAAACAAAAATTCCTGGGTTTTTTCAGCTTAGGAGCTGCTTCCAAATCATATCCCAGTTCAAACTCCCAGTCCCATTGGGACATCCGTTCCTGCTTCCCTAGAACCATGCTCCCCATAGGTTCGATTTTGGGGGAGGGTCTTTTAAGCTGAGGAGGAGTGTCAGCTCAAGGAGTGTCAGCTCAAGGAATGGCACCTCAGCAGCTGCCCAGCCCTCAGCTCTCCCCCTTCACACTGTCCATGCTCCCCCTGATTTTTGGCTGTCTCCTTTTTTCCTTGTTTTTGCAGATGACTCGGGACCAGCAGCACCACTTGCCTGGACTGACGGAGGGTCCAAGCCCAGTGGAATCTCCAGTGCTCAAGTTTCACATCTGCTTACAGTGACTATTAATTAACAGTTCAAACCCTTCCATGGCTGGGGCAGGGGAAAGGGGACCAAACCTGTTTTCTTCACATGCATTTTTGGGGACATTTCTGGGGAAAGGCGGAGCTGAGGTGTCTTGGGAGCTGCTCACTGCACGGGGAGATGCTGAGGTGCTGCTCCTGGATGATGCTCAGCCCGTGAAATGCGAGCTCTGGGCCATGCCCAGGGTGTTGGTGTTTCAGGGTGCTCATATCTCTCTGTCTCAGCCCTAGGGGTCAGCTGGAAGCATCAGATGAGGGGATTCCTTTTCCAGGCTGACCCTCTTTCCTTCATGCAATATCAGGTTACTTCTTTGGAAAGTGTCTCTGCAATGAGCTCCAGCCCAGGAGGAGCTGGGAGAGCTCTGGGTGTCTGTTACAAAACGGGGTAGGGGTGTGAGAGCTCAGACAGAACAGCTTTGGGAATGAGTTAAATGGGTTCGATTTTGCAGGATTAGCAGTTACACGGATAATCTGGGTCATTCTCGGGTTTACAGACATGTTTACGAATGAGAGGGGCCACAACCCAAAGGGGTGTTTCTCCAGAAGAGCCACATCCCTGTGGTCTGTGGGGCTGGGAGTGCCTGGACTGTTCTGCCCAGCCCCAGTCGTGTGCTCACCAGGGACACGTGTGCTCACCAGGGACACGTGTGTGACACCAGGGACACGTGTGTGACACCAGGGACACGTGTGTGACATCTGCCAGGGTCTGGACTTTGAGACACCTGGGGAAGAGCCAGGTGTGAGTTGGACCACCTGAATTGCAGGTGTGAGGAGTGTCCTGGAGCAGCTGATGCCTGGAAAAAGGGGACCCCGACCCCTGTGACTGTGATTCAGGACAGCCCTGAACTGTGAGTTATCTCCTCAAGGGTGCTGGAGTTTCACTCCATTGCTGGTACTCAACTGGGATCTTTCCTGCAGCCCATTGTGTGGATATTTGGGATCTGATTGTGTAGGACCAAAGGTGAATGTGTCAGGAGGTCGCTGTCGGGTGGATCTGCTGCTAAAACAGTGAAAACTGCTTGCCAAGTGCTCCTGTCCAGGCCCTTCCTTGGAAACTTAAATCCCATTTGCACCCCAAGCTGGCAGTGCCTTTGTTTGGAGCAGCCAAGGGAGTTGCCCTGCGGGCAGGGAGGTCCCTGAGTCACCTTTAAGGTGAATATTGAGAATGTCTTTGGCTCCATTCCTTTGGTTTGCACATCCCCTGCGGATCAGGGGGCAGGGCTGACACTGCAGGAGGGGACAGAGGGAAGTGTTGGGGTCTGGCTGGTGCTCCAGGATCCCCTGAGGTGGAGGAGGGAGTGCTGGGATCCTGGTGGGATCCTGGTGGGATCCTGTGCAAGGGGACGTGTTTTTCCGTGCAGGGCAGGGGAGGTTTCCTGGAGAAATCCCACCCCCCTGGCAGCTCCATCTCCCATGTGCACAAATGATTTTAAAATACACAGATACATGTTTTTAATCACTCTGCCATGTGCTCTCAGCACTGGATGGGCCCTGCTTTCCTGGGATCCCTGCAACTGGGATCCTGTCACACCTGATCCAGGTGCTCCCTGCTCATGGAGCTGCTGCAGATGGAAGCAGGCAGAGGTTCCCTGTGGGAATCACTGGGATGGCTCAGTCTGGCCACAGCTTCCCTGTGGATGATGGGAGCTGTGTGATCCATGGTCAGGGATCCCCTGATCCTGCAGGGCTGCACATGCTGCTAACTTCCCTGGCTCTTCAGTTCCTCTGGAAAGTTATTCCTTGTGCTGATGAGCCCAGATGAGCCCAACTGTCCCAGTCCACTGCAGCCAACACATTCCTGGGCCTTCCTTTACCTGAAGTGATTAAACCTGAGCATTCCTTGGGCTCCTCTCTTGCTGGGCAGGTGGGGTCTGCAATTCTCAAGTTTCCTCACCTCGCAGGAGCGGAGGATTTGTTTGATGTTGAATGATTTGGGTCAGAGGGAACCTCAAACAGGGCCTCCAAACCGTCGCTGCTGTTTAAGCCAAAGCCAAATTTGTGAAGTTTACACGATCCCTCTGCTCTGGGAGGCTCTGTGGGTGCTCTGCTGTGGGTGTTGATCTGCCCAGCCCAGCTGGGCCCTCTGGGGGTTAGTGGGATTGAAGAGGAGCGGAGTGAGGTCGGCTCTGTCACTCACCACGTGCTCCTGTTGTGTTCCCGTGCCTGGAATGGGATCTGCAGCCCTGGAGGTGCTGGGAGAGGGGCCTGTGGTGGGAGTGGGTGCCGTGGAGTCAATAAACAGCCCCTGAGCACGTTGTTGTCTGAGCTCCACGAGGAGCAGCTCCTGTTTCACCCTCCCATGGAATCGCTGATTTGTCTTTAAATGCCACTGGCCCTGTATCCATTGATGGCTTTCCTGTCATTGCAGCATCCCCTCCCTTGTACCTGGAACAAGTGGAATAAAGCATTCCAGCCCACCCCTCCCTCTGTGGCGTGGGGCTGCTGTGGTGGGTTCATGGATTTACGGAGTTGTTGTGTTTTCCCCCTGTGCTGCTCCCTCTCACAGGACAGTGACACTGTCCCCGGTGTGCTCTCAGGGCCACTGCTCACCCTGTGCCACATCTAGAAGTGTCCAAGGCCAGGCTGGATGGAGTTTGGAGCAACCTGGTCTAGTGGAAGGTGTCCCTGCCCATGGCAGGGAGTGGAACTGGATGGCCTTTAAGGTCTCTTCCAAGCCAAACATTCTGGGATTCTGTGATTCTCCAATTATCTCTGAGTTGGTTTCAATTTTCTAGAGTCTCCTCCCTTCCCTTTCTCCCTGTTCTCACATTAATTCAGTTTCTTGTATAGAAAACCAAGTACAATCCCAGCGAGGGCCATCCTGGCAGAAGAACCAAGATGCATTTTATTTATTTGGGAGCAGGGGAGGAGAGGCTGTTCCCTGGATCATAGAATCGTGAAGTCTCCTGAGCTGGAAGGGACCCACAAGGACCATCCAGTCCAACTCCTGGCCCTGCACAGACACTCCAACAATCCCACCCTGTCCCTCAGGGCATTGTCCAAACCCTCCTGGAGCTCTGGCAGCCTTGGGGCCGTGCCCACTGCCCTGGGGAGCCTGGGCAGTGCCAACCAGCCTCTGGGGGAAGAACCTTTCCCTGAGATCCAACCTGACCCTGCCCTGGCACAGCTCCAGCCCTTCCCTGGGTCCTGTCACTGGTCACCAGAGCAGAGATTGGAGCTGCCCCTCCTGAGGAAGCTGCAGGGCCCCGTGAATGTCCCTGTCCTGGCTCCTCCCTGCAGGGAATTAGACCCAGAACAAAACCAAGGGCGTTCCCTGCCTCTCACATCTGCTTCTCATCCATCTCGTTCCGGCTGTGTGGATCAGTGGCACTGAGAAATGGGAATCCATGTTCCCCGTGTCCCACCCTGCCCTGGGCCGTGTCCCCGGGGCCTGCCTGCTCTGCTGCTGGAGCACCCAGGGGGAAGAGGGTTTTGTTTGCTCCCTGACGTACCCTCGTTGCCGGTGGGGTTCTGTGGGGCTGGGGGGCAGCACGAGGGGCTGGGGCACAGGGGATCCCTGTAGATGGCACTCACAGACCAGACATGCGGCTGCCAGGGCACTGCCAGCACCTGGGGAAGCTGGAGACAAATCCTGGTGCCCTGAAAGACAGATCTTCCCCCGAGCAGTTCCCTGGGATGAGCTGGAAGTGCCCTGTGGGGAAGTGCCCTTTGGGGACTGTGTCTCTTGGCCTCGGGGTGGGGGAGCAGCAGGTTTTGGGGTGACTCCTGGGGATTGTGGGCCTGGGGAGGGTCCCTCCCGGTGGCACCAGAGGCTCTTGCTCTGGGTTTCACTTGGCCCTGTCAGTACTTGTCTGGGAAGGATTTTTATGACTCTGGGACTGACAAGGCTTTGAGATGCCCTGATATGATGGAGTGGAGCCACCAGCTCCAGCACAGACATGAACACCCAGCCCTGCCCCAGCAGCACCCCCAGGGCTGGGCCAGATTAACTGCAGTGCTAATGAACTAAGAGGGCAGGACAGCATCACCCTGTCGGGTTAGCCTGGGTATTAGGGAAAATTCCTTCCCCAAAAGGAAGGGATCCAGGCTGGCACAGGCTGCCCAGGGCAGTGCTGGAGTCACCGCCCCTGGAAGTGTCCAAAAAAAAACGTGGATGTGGCTCCTGGGGACATGGTTTAGTGGTGGCCTTGGCAGTGGTGGGGGAATGGTTGGATTTCATGATCTTGGAGGTCTTTTCCAACCTAAATAATTCCATGGTTTTGTGCTTCCAAGCTCTGTCTGTGTGGGAGCTGCGACAGTGCTCGTTCCTTTTCAGGCTCAGGGGGCTGATACCCCAATTAGCACTAATTGCTGTGGCCTATGGTGCCGGACCAGCTGCAGCTGTGCTGTCCTCCCCCACCTTCCCATCCCTGCTCCTGCTCCGTGCCATCCCCTCTTCCCGAGCTCTCACTGGGGAGAGGCTCCGGCTGGCGCTGGCTGGGATTCCAGTCACAAACACAAGCTGGCGGCATGGATCTGCTCTGAATTTATTTTAAACTCGAGGTAAAGTGCTCTTGATGCTTTGGATGCAAATTTCCTTGCCTGGAATGGGAGCTGCGGGCCGGTGGAGTGCCGGGGAGCTCTTTTGATTCCAGCAGCCTGTTCACTGCTGCTCTCGCCTGGAGTGCGAAATCACGGCTGCGGCTCCGCCCGGGGGGCACGGCTGGCACAGGCAGCTCCTCTCCTGCTCCCTGTCCCCTGCTTTTAATCAGGGCTCGTGTATCGAGTTGTTTTTTGGGTGGGGTGTTTTTTTCGTGTTATCGTGTGTGACAACAGCCTGTGTGTGATTTTTCTGGTCGGTCCAAGTCCTTCCTGTCACCCAAGGAGGGAAAAGAAAGAAATGTAGAATATTTATAGATAATACCTGTAAAAAATGCAGAGTGGGTAAAGGATCCATTGGTGGATTTCAGAGTTCTTTGCCATGGAGGTGGATCCCTCCAGTACCAAACCTTGGTTTTAATAGGTGGCATTAACCAAGGCCAGGTTGGACGGGGCTTGTAGCCCCCTGGGCTAGTGGAGGGTGTCCCTGCCCATGGCAGGGGGTTGGACTGGATTGGCTAAGGTCCTTCCAACCCAGACTATCCCAGGATTATCTCCGTGGCCAGCCCTCTGGGGTGGGGATTGTCACCGTGAACGTGTCGGGCTCTCGGTCCTGTTGGGGCCAAGCCCTCAGTGGGTGAGGAGATGAGGGTGGTTGAGGGAAGATGTCCCAGGTTCTGTCCCACTTATTGCTCATACGCTCCCTGGGTGGCTCTGGGGACTTTGGGGTGACCGTGGGTGGCTCTCAGAAGCAGAACTTCTCTGTGCCTGTTTTCAGCTGCACTCACAATTCTGCCCCCGTGTCCCTCTGGCCGGGGCTCATTGTGGGCAGGGACTGGGTGTTCTCCCTCACCTTCATTCCATGGGCACTGGCACTCCAAAATGTGTCTCTGGGTTGGTGTGGAATTGGGTGGCGTGTTGGAAAAGACGCTGGGAGTGTTTGAAAACCTGCTGCAGAGTCTCTGATGTCTGTTCTGTTCCACTCAACAAAGCACCTCTACACAACGGGCAGATTCTTCTGTATTAGAAATTACCTTTACTTAGTTGGCTTTTTGTCTAAATCCTCCTTCTGATCTTTATTTTTTTCCCTTCCATCATGGAAAGGTGAATGGAAGTGGCACTTCAGCCACCAAAGCCTTTCCTTTAGAATCGCTGGTTGTTTTTTTGTTTTAAAAATTTTCCAAGGGGCTTTGCAGGGGAGGAGGAAGGAGCGCTCGCTTTTCAAGTGACTCCGGGGAATAAAAGTATAAAGGACAGGAATGATCAGAACTGTGCTGGCAACGGAACAATATTTTATTTTTGAGTACCAGAGCTAATTGGAGAAGGAATTCACACAACAATTTTTGCAATCTAAGGATGAGTAAACATGAAAGGGGCTCTGTGCTCCTGAACATGCTAATTTGGGGCTGCGTGTGCAGGGGGGGAAACGGCCTGAAGATTAAATTGGAGACAGTGCCTGGGATGTCACACTCCAGGGTTTGCTTCTT